ACAGTACAAAGCCTTAGGTCCAGTAATGATCCCTGCCTGGAGCCATAACCCCTACGCACAGGTTTCCTCAATCTGTAGTGGTTTTCTATCCCAGCTATGGGGCATAATGCACAGAGCTGCCAGTTCACATTCATGCTTCCTGCCTTGCATCAGGACCCTCAGGGCTGGATCATCTTCCTGAATGGACATCTTCCTGAATTACTCAGCTTTGGATATTCAGCACCTCAACTCACTCAGCTTCCTCTTCCCTCTGATTGGAGGGTTGGAGGGTGAGACACTAAGCTTTTCCTTAAGTTTTCCTTTATAGAAGTCTAGGATGTATCAGTATCTAGGTTTAGTTTGGCCTCCATGGAATATGATCTCCCTGTGTCAAGCACCCCTTAGAACCCCCCACAGCCACCCCACAATGCACACTTTCCTTTTGTATATTGTCTATCCCCATTATATTCAACTCCCCAAGGAGTTGAAGGCAGAGACTGTCTTTCTTTTTCTTATTTGTATTCTCAGCACTTAGCACAGTGCCTGGCCCATCATATATACTTTGTCAATACTTGCTGCTTTGCCTACAGTTATTGAACAGAACTGAAAAGTTTTGTTTCAGCTCCAGGATCCAGTTCAATTCTTTCACCAGAAGACTCCATATAGCACTCTCTTGACTAGGACACATCCCTAGTGTCCAAAGACCTCAGTTTTTCTCCCTATGCTGACCTGCTCTGAAGAAAATGACCCGCTGTGATTTTTCTTTGAGTTTCACAATAAAAACTCAGTCTGGTGTGTTTTCTAGGTATTTGAGGAGTTGGACAGAAGATCTGGGATCTGCTACTTCCTCCTACTCCATCTTCATGCCCTCTCCAACAGTGACAATGTAAGACTCAAAGGAAATACTATTTGGCTGAGACTCCTACCACAACCACATGTCTGGCAAAGAACAACCCACTGCTAACTATCAATCTTAATACATCTGCCTCTGTATTATTCTTTGATTTTCTTGTCCTTTTTAAAATAGATATTTATTGACCAATATTTTTAAAAATACATTAATTATTTACCACTAAGATTCTCTTCCCTCATTTTTCCCTTTCACTTATTAAAATTATTAACCATGAATCTCATACAATTCCCTCACTCAGGAAATTGAGCCCCAGAGTAGGGAAGAAATGTGGAACACAACACCAGTCAGACTTAATGGAGAAAGGTCCTACAGTAACATTGTTTAAAGCTTATAAAATATCACATTTTGTGGAGAGTGAATTTTTTTCAGAAATGTACATTTGTATGTCATGAAACTTTAATAGCATATTTTCCACTTAAAAAGCTCTTGCAAATACCAATCAGTCTCCCTCTATTCCCCTTACTCTGTCTTCCTTCTCTCCCCTTATTGTCCCTCTCTCACCTGTCCCTCCTAGCTCCCCTTTCCTTCCTCTTATTGAGACAGTGGGTTTTTGTTTGCTTGTTTGCTTGCTTGTTTATTAGTGCTTTTCCCCCCACTGAAATAATGTAGAATTCAGTAGAGATATTAGGACCAAATACATAGATTTGAGAATCAGCTACAAAGAGATGATAATTGAACCCATAGCAGGATAAAACAAACAGCATAAAAAACATACCTGTGAAGGGTAAAAACTAGAGAAATCCTCCACTTGGTAATGTTTGTAAATAAACTAAGTTAACCTTACACTAAGATGCCTTGAGGGGATGGAAATCATTCTTAATATCAGTGGTATGAGCTGTTTTTCTCCTATGAATGATTAGGTCAAGCTTTAGGGTAGTTATGAATCCCTTAAAGTAGACTCTACAATGTTCAAAGCCCTCCTATAATAGCACCAGGTAGGAGAACATCTCCAAATAGGAGAATTTAGAAGACTTCGCTATACAAAGGAGTTTATTATTGCTGTTGTTGTTCTTGATGTTTTTAGTTTTTGCTGTTAATTTATTCATTGATGATGTTACTATTATTATTACTATTAATAATAATGATAGCAAACACTTATTATATGACTTTAATTCTTACAAAGATGGAGACAGAGCTAAGATGGAGGAGTAAAAGCAGTGACCTGCTTGAGCTCTCCCCCAAATACCTCCAAATACCTGTAAAAAAAATGGCTCCAAACAAATTCTAGAGCAGCAAAACCCACAAAAAAACAGAGTGGAACAAATATCCAGCCCAAGACAACCTGGATGATTGATTGAAAATGTCTATAGTGTGGGCTGGAAGAGGAGCGCAGTTCAGCATGGGCATGCAGGCAAAGACCAGGCCTCAGCAAACCTGGAGCACTCCTCAGGGTATTGAATCAAGGGGAGCTGTGGTGATTTCCAGACTTCTCAACCCACAAATACCAAAGACAACTTAGAAGTCAAGCAGGAAAGGTCTATTGGACCATGGTGATAGAGAAGTTTAGTCCTAGCCTCAGTCCCTGTGCAGCCCTGGGGCAGCAGCTATTTCTGGAGCTCTTGCCCACAGATGGAGTGGGGATAGAGCAACTGCTCAGAGGGGGATTGCAGGGATCTCTTTTCTGGTGCTGAGGCAGGATTCTCTTGCTTTGCTCATGCTTGGATCTGGGTTGCAGTTCTGGGTGGTGGTCCACTAGCATGGTGGAGCTTGTGGTGGCAGTGAAGAGAAAATCTTCTTCACAGTTCCAAGGCATAAAAGAGTGTTTGTGGTCACTCATAGAGCAGAGCTCAGGACAGGAAGGGAGTAAATCCTCACCTTTGATCATACCACCTTGGAAGAAATGAAAATTTACAGGTCCCTAGATGTATCTCTGAAAATAGCTGCACAAAACCCCCAAAGTTGGGGGTAGAATATTCTCCACACTGTAAGCAGACCCCTACCTTAACAAAGAGTTTAAAACTCAGATAATTGGCTGGGAAAATGAGAAAACAGCACAGAAAGAGTCAGACCATAGAATCTTACTTTGGTGACAAAGAAGATCAAAACATACAACCAGAAGAAAATAAAGTCAAAGGTCCTACATCCAAAGCCTCCAAGAAAAATATCAATCAGTCCCAGAACATGGAAGAGCTCAAAAATAGCCAAATGGAAAAGGAAGCCAAGACTCACTGAAGAAAATACTTCCTTAAATATTACAATGGAACAATTGAAAGCTAGTGAATTCATGAGAAATCAAAACACTTTAAAACAAAACCAAAAGAATGAAAAAATATAAAATAATGTGAAATATCTCATTGGAAAAACAACTGACCTGGAAAATAGAAGAGGAAGGAGATAAGAAAATGAAGGAGATAGAAGGGAGGGGAGATTAGAGAAAGAGTATTCAGAATGCATGCTGTCTTGGGGTTGGCGGAGGGATGAGATGGGGAAAAAAATTTGAAACCAAAATCTTGTGAAAGTGAATGTTGAAAACTAAAAATAAATAAATGAATGAATCTTAAAAAAAAAAAAGAAAATAAATTGTAAAGGAAAACTGCCCTGATATTCTAGGATCAGAGAGTAAAACAGAAATTGGAAGAATCCACCTAACACCTCCTGAAAGAGATCCCCAAAGGAAAACTCCTAGGAATATTATAGCCAAATTCCAGAGTTCCCAGGTCAAGGAGAAAATATTGCAATCAGCCAGAAAGAAACAATTCAAATATTGTGGAAACACAATTAGGATAACACAAGATTTAGCACCTTCTACGTTAAGTGACCAGAAGTCTTGGAATATAGTATTCCAGAGGTCAAAGGAGCTAGAATTAAAACCAAGAATCACCTACCCTGCAAAACTGAGTATAATCTTCAGGGGGGGAAATGGTCATTCAGTGAAATACAGGACTTTCAAGCATTCAAGTACAAGACACAAGAGAAGCATGAAAAGGTAACCAGGAAAGAGAAATCATAAGAGACTTATTAAGGTTGAACTGTTTACATTCCTGCATGGAAAGATGATATTTGTAACTCATGAGCCTTTCTCAGTATTAGGGTAACTGGAGGGGAAAATACATATCGAGAGAGAGAGAGAGAGAGAGAGAGAGAGAGAGAGAGAGAGAGAGAGAGAGAGAGAGAGAGAGAGAGATGATAGATGGCACAGGGTGAGTTGAAGATGAAGGGGTAATATCAGAAAAAAAATTAAGGGGTGAAAGAGGATTATACTGGGAGAAGAAGAAAGGGAGAGGTAGAATGGGTTAAATTATTTCACATAAAAGAGACAAGAAGAAGCTTTTGCAGTGTAGGTGAAGTGGGGGAAGGTGAGAGGGAATGAGTGAATCTTACTCTCATTGGATTTGTCTTAAGGAGGGAGTAACATGCACACTCAATGGGGTATGGAAATCTATCTTATCCTACAGGAAATTAGTGGAGAAGGAGATAAGAGAACTGGGCAGGGAGGTGGATGATAAAAGGGAGGACAGATTGGGGAAGGGGGCTAATCAGAAGCAAACACTTCTGAAGAGAGACAGGGTCAAAATTAAAAAAAGACTAAATGGGGGAGGGGCAGGATAGAATGAATGGAAATATAGTTAGTTTTTCACAACATGACTGCTATGGAAGTGTTTTACATGACTGCGCATGTATAACCTGTATTGAGTTGCTTGCCTTCTCCATGAGGGTGGGTGGGGAGGGAGGAAGGAGAGAATTTGTAACCCAAAGTTTTAAAAACACATGTTTAAGAAAAATTGTTTTCATATGCAACTGGGAAATAAGATATATGGGCAATGGGGTATAGAAATCTATTGTGCCCCACAGGAAAATAGAAAAGGAAGGGGATAAGAGAAGGGGGGTTGATAGAAGGGAGGGCGATTAAGGGAAGTGATATTCAGAATGCATGACTTTTTGGGGTGGGGGAGGGGTGAGATGAGGAAAAAACTGGAAGTCAAAATCTTGTGGAAGTGAATGGTGAAAACTAAAAATATTAATATGCTTTTTAAAAAAAATTCTTACAAAGATATTTATGACTATCTCATTTTTCTTCACAACTTTGGGAAGTAGGTACTATTATTATGTCCATGTTACAGGTGAAGAAATTGAGGCATTGCAAGGTTAAATGTATAGCCTATGATCACATGGCTAGTACATATGTAAGTCTGGATTTGAACTTAGGTCTTCCTGATTCCAGGCCCAATATCTGAATCTTCTTCATAACAGTGGTGAACATCTAAAAGATAGAGAGACAGACAGATGAAAGAGAGAGAGAGAGAGAGAGAGAGAGAGATGATAAATAAATATATATATATATAATTTATATATAATATGTAATCATAGGACATTTATTAAGTACATGCTACATGCCATACTATATACTATGTGCACTACGCTAATGTTGGGGATACTGATATAAATATGCAAGACAGCCCCTACCCTCAAGGACCTTGGATTCAAATGGTGGGAAGACACCACATGAAGGGGTGCTAGAAAATGGGGAGAAGAAAATATGAACCCTGTGGCATGGTAAGAAGATAATTAAGAGACTTGAGCCCCAGCAATACAAGGCGAAAGCTCACATGTAAGAACTGGGGGATCCAGAGGCAGCTCCAGGAGGAATATGAAAATATTCATAAAGATTTGAGGATATGTGTGTAGATTTTTTTTTTGTAAAATATTTATTTTTATATTATATATATACGTGCATAAGAAAGCAGGGAGAAAGTAGATGTGCCAAGAGTGATGTTTTCTTAGTCACTCTTTTAAATTAAATTCTGAGATTTTTTTTATCCTTTTGGCATCTTCTCCAATTATGTTGGTGCCCTTCCAATTATGATACATCTTACAGAGATATCCTCCCTTTATATGTGGCTTAATCTGGCTATTTTCTTTCTTTCTTTCTTTCTTTCTTTCTTTCTTTCTTTCTTTCTTTCTTTCTTTCTTTCTTTCTTTCTTTCTTTCTTTCTTTCTTTCTTTTCTTCTTCTACTTCCTGTAAGTACATGTGGGTCTTTGATGTTTGCATTAAGTATTGTTTCTCTACTTTCCTTGTTGGTGAAACGAGCTTGTCATAAAAATTTTGGCAAATTTTTTACATCTTTCTTTTGCTTTACTTCCATCCTAAAGATAACTTTTCTTATGTGGATTGCTCATCAAATTTCCTTCATATTGGTTTTATCATCTATTGTTTCTCTCTCTTTAATTAAGTGATCCTGAACATAATTTTTATCATTCTTTTACCACCAGGATTATATCTGAAACTAATACTGTCATTGGCAGCTATATGTCTTAGCTAAGATGAATAAATTAAATGATTACTGACTGAAACACTCTTTAGTGTCTTTTGGTCTTTTTGATACAAAAATTGATTTACTGTGGTCAAACTTCTATATGACATTATTATAGTAGGTATCTATGCTCTTACTTTCATCCATATCAAATTTTTCATGAGCAATAACTTAAACAGAAAAATACATAAGCAAAAAAGTTAATAATTAAATGGTAAGTTGGGTAGCATGTGTGATGTTCTATCATTAATGACGACAAAAGAAAGACCAAGAGAATACAGAATAGCCTGGAATGGTTCATGGAAAAGATTTCATTTGCCAATCTGGATAATTGGAGGGAAAAGGAGATTTGTTGCAAGGAGGTGATAAAAATAGAACGAGCAAAGGTGCAAAGGGAAGAACAAACATGGATGATGAGAATATTTTTGTGTTCAAGACCTTTGAGAAAAAGTGTCGTATGTTTACCCGGTATGTAGCAGAACATAGCAGTGATAAAAACTTGACTTTTATGACTCTTTAATTCATTTCAGTCAATAAACATTTAACAAGCACTTACTATGTGTACTGTGCTAAGTACTGGGAATACAAAAGGAGGCAAAGGACAGTCCCTATTCTCAAAGAGATCACAATTCAATGTATTACAGTGAGATCTGTGTTGAAAAGAAGAAGAGTATACTAACCTGGGCAAAAAAGATTTAGTCAAACTCTGAGTGGGTTTAAAAAAAAACTGCCTAAAGAAGTAATAATTTGTAGAGTTGGAAACCTAAAACTTCATCATTAGATGCCTCCTTTGGTTAGAATAGCAAGTTTGTCTAGCTTTCACTTTATGGTATGACTGTTCTACAAGGGAAGATTCATATGCTTACTTCATATGCCCTGCCCTTCTAATCCAAATAACAGATGGCACTGTTATGTCTCCTAATATTCCTTCAGCTATCCACACTGTTGGCAGATATTTTGTCCTTCAAGCCAAATGGACTTTAAAGTCCAGACTTGCCTGTTTTCCTTTATATGAAAACTCTATCTCTTTTTTTTTTTATTGTGGGACAAATCACAAATTCAGGTTTCTAAGTACCATGTGGTTTCCAGAACAAGAGCTATGAAAGGAGTCATGCTCCCCCTGGAAATGTCATTATGAGGCTGACACTTCACTTTGCAAGGGCAGGTGGTACAGTGAAGCTGGATTAAATCATGCCACCACCTGAAGGTTCAAAGACTTTGCAATGTTGCACTCTTTTCTGTTACTCTGTACATATACTCTATTTTCTCATTTTATTTGAATATGCCACGTGGTATTTTGAGAATATGAGATACCAAATTTGTCAGTATAAAACATAGTTCTCAAAGGAAATTTATTTTCTTTTGGCAGCTTGTATACTATAAAACTAATTAACATTAGCTCCCATAAGAATGCATTTTTCTATCTGCATGTTTCCCTTGGACCAATTAGTCAAAACATTTTAGACCCTGGCTTCTGGGATTGTGTTACCTGAAGGACACTGTCATTCCTTCATTCTACTAATACTTCTTAAGCACCTATATAAAATAAAAGAATATGTAGGTTTCTAAAAAGTAGGAGGTGTATAGTTTCTGCCCTCAAGAAATTTGCAATCTGGCAAGGACAGAGAAGATATCTGAAGGGAGCATTAAAAATATGAAAGACTATAAGTACCAAATAAAAATCATTGTTTTAGAAGTTGGAGCAAGGAGAGGCCATTGTGAATGGCACTAGTTTATGAAGGCTTATAAGCTGAGTCTTGAAGGAATGGATGGCATTTGAATGGAGAAGAGGAGTGAGAAAGTCATTTCAAGAGTAGAATTGGAAAACTTCTGGTATGTCTTTATGTGCCTTTAGTGAATGAATCTGTTTGGAGCAACAGGAACATGTACAATAGTAGTATCATATAAAGCTAACTTGGATCCATATTGTGGAATATGCAAAATACTATATAAAGAATTAAATCTTACACTAAAGACAATGAGAACCACTATTTTTTTTTGCCACTGTGTAGCATTAATTTATTTTTCTTTCAGTTTCTAAAAATATGCTTAATATTACAACTTGGCAAATGTTAACATGATTATTTCCCATACATTAGCTTCCATAGAAAGATATTTTATATTTGTATGCTTCTCTAGGCCCAGTCAGTTAAAAGAAAAAAAAATATACAATTGCATATAAATCTGAGGGTTTTTTTTTCTTTTGGCTAGGCAGTGGGGTTAAGTGACTTGCCCAGGGTCACATAGCTAGTATGTGTTATGTGTCTGTGGCCACATTTGAACTCAGGTCGTCCTGAATCCAGGGCCGGTGCCCTATCCACTGCGCCACCTAGCTGCCCCTAATCTGAGATATTTTTGGAAAGTATATTTTAAATCGAATATGTACTGGCCCTACTTGGATTCTTCTGAATCTTCCTTCTGCTCTATTTTGTATGTCTCCAAAATAAAACACTTTTTTCAGTTCATCCTCACAACTCTGAGAAATAAGTGGTATTATTATCTTCATTTTACAGATAAGAGAACTGAGGCAAACAGGGAATAAGTGACTTTCCCTTATTCACACTGCTATTAAGTATCTGAGGCAGTTGAACAAATTTCATTATGCCACTTAATTGCCTGAATGATTCACTGACTTTGTTTTTTTTTCCTATCATTTCACAACCCACTTCCTGTTTTTTCCATTACTCTTACTCTCTGAAAACAAATCCTTTCATAAAAAAAATTAGGTATAGTTTTAAAAAATCATGCATTGTCTGTATCCAAAAAGATATATCTTATTTTGCACTTCTAGCCGATCACCTCTTTAACAAGTGTGATTCACCATCAGGCTTGTTGGAGCCATGTTTACTCAGATCACAGTTCTTAAGTTTGCCATGGTTACTTTCCTTTAAAATGTAATTTTCTCCTGGTTTTACTCACTTTACTCCCTATCAATTCATTCAGATTTGTTGTCCCGGTCCCCCACTGATCACCAACAACTTTTTTTTTCCTAGTTCTTGGCTACAACAAAATTGTCCCTTTGTATATCCTTGTATGTTTGTCTGCTTGCCCTCTTTCTTTGATCTTTGTGGGCTATGTATCTAATAAAGGAGTGTTGCTGTGTCAAATGATATGATGTTTTATATCTAGCTTTTATATTTAATTGGAGCACCTTCCATTTTAAGGAAAATGGACATATCAGCTGTATCTTCATTCTGCTCTGAATTTAACTCTCAGGACATTCCCCACTGTAACCTTGGGGATGTCTTCTCCCCCCACCCTCTCTTCAGTTTTTTTTAAAATGTTATCTTCTCCCACTAGAATATAAATTATTTGAACGCAAGAACTATCTTTATTTTTGCTTGAGTTACAAATATTCCTAGCACTTATCACAGCATCTGGCACATAATAAGCATTTAATAAACGTTCGCTGTTGTGTTTCTCTCCCAGCCTCCTCTGGCTTCTGGCCATCTTTATTTGTGAAATTCTGGACTGGGTGAAGGAAATAACTTCTGGTTTCCTTTACTTTCCTTTATGATTGCTTTATCTGAGCCTCTTTTCAGGTATTAACCAGGGTTTATTTAGAACCTTTTACATAATCATCTTAACCTTAAATGTCCTAAAAGTTTTTAATAAGGAAAGTAACATCATGAAAACATTATTTTAAAAAGTTGGGTGAAGAATTGATCAATAGAATAGTAGAATAATCTAAGTATGACATTAAAGGGCTTTGAGTAAGGTCATAGTAATGAGGGACTTTAGGTGAAGTAATAAGAATGATAAACCTTTATAAATGGAAAATTAGCTGCATTTGTTAACTAATTTAGCAACAGACCATAACTAAGAGGTTGTGGGGAATTAAAAATGGATCCATTATTTGAATCAGAAGAACAGGAAAATGTTGATTTTCTATTTTGAAGTAAGAGTACATGTTTAGGGCAGGTTGGTGAGCTATATTTTGAACATTTTGTGTTTGTGATGTTGATGAGACATCTAGGTAGAACTGTCTAATAGGTCCCTGGAAGTAACAGAAATGGAATTTAGGAGACTGCTTCAGGGTGAAAATAAATGTTAAAACATCTTATTTATGTTCAGCTACTCTATTTTGATATTCAGTTGCTTAACATTCAGGAATTATAACAATAGTTATTATCATTCTTATTAAAGATAATAAGAAATTGAAGTCAGGATGTAAAATACTAAGTAAAAATCTTCTCAAGTGAGTTATTTCTCATGGATATGTGATAGATAAGATTTCATGATAGATACAAATCTTATTGATCAACTGGTATCAAAATCAATTAATGCATTAAAAAGTAGCAATGTACTTCTTAAACATGTCTTAGGGGCATGGAGGGGCATCTTGGACAGTATTCAGATAGACAGTATTCTTTCTGGTCTTGTTTTTGGATTGCATTGTGTTTATTACAAGTACAGAGTATTGTGTTCACTGACTGATGCGTAAATTGTCTTGGTTGGCTTTGCTTGTCAGTTTCTCTTTTTCATATGGGGTAATGCTCATCATTTGGGTGGTAAGATGAGGAGGAGTGAGGAAAGTGTATATTCAGAAATGATTGTGATATAAAAAAGCATTGATAAAAATGTTTTCTAAAATAAAAATAAGTTGAAATTCAGAACCAATGCCTGCAAAAAGTCTCCCCCTCTATTTCCTACTCTGCATTTACAGCTCAGGTGAGCTCCTCCTTCGTGTGCACCGTCTTGTTCCCCTCACATCTGGCATTAGCCTCCCCAGAGGCCTCCTCTAGATTTGCTGATGGAGGCCTATGTGATCAAGCCTCTTATGACCTTATGGTCCCAAACTGAATTTTTCTTTAAAAATTGATTTGATCAAAACAACTCCAAAATTTCACCTCAAACTCAGCAAATTGAAAGAGTTGGCAATGCCAATGTTGGAGAGTTTGGGGAAAGATAGGTATACTAACGCATTATTTGTGGGGCTGTGAATTAGTACTATCATTCTGGAAAAGAATTTGGAATTATACAGGTAAATAGATTTAATATGTCTATACATTTGAACCAGGGATTCCGCTGTCAGGCATACACCCCACAGATGTCATTGATAAGAAAAAAGCTCTGATATATATACACTGAAATATGTATAGCATCACTTTTTTGAAATAGCAGAAAACTGGAAACAAAGTAGATGCCAAACATTTGAGGATTGAACAAACAAAATGTGACAGATGAATTCAATGAAATATTATTGTGCTCTAAAAACCAACCAGTTAATGACTACACAGAAGCACAGAAAAACTTCTATGACTAATTAATGCAAAGTGAAGTAAGTAGTGCCTATAAAGTCATATGCACAATGACTACAACAATGTAAATGGAAAGGATAACAACCATAAAATGATTTTAATGAATATTGCAAATTTTATAAATTTACCGGCATAGACCAAAAGAAGAGATATTAGAATGCACTCATCCATCTCATTGAAGATACGGTAGATCTACAGTTATGAATCATTGTACACATATATTTTCTCAATTTTTTCAATACATTGATTGGTTATACTGAATTTTTCTTCCTAGTTTTCTTTTTAAAAATGCCTTTTTTATTTGGAATGGCTGGTGAGGGGAAAGGGAAAGTTTAGGTCATACAAAAATAAAATATATAAATAAAATGTATTTCAAAAATTTCTGTGAATATGAACTTTGTGCTGCTTTCCCTGAACACATTCTCTCAAACTTATCCTAGGTTCCAAAAATTTAAAATTAAAGTTCCAATGGAGACATGTTACTAGTTACTATTAGTGAAAGACCTGTTGATATGTATTAGTAGTTGGACACTGAGAATTAAGCAACTAAGAGCAAATTGAGGCAAAGAAAGCAAAATCTGGAAATAGGACTATATGACCTATTTTATTACCTTTTAAGATGTGATAAAGTACCATCTCTGTATCTAGAAGATGTACTTTACTTTAAAAGTTTGGTCATTTACTTTATTTGAAATTTCATTTTTATATGAAAAAGCAAATGAAGTTAATCTGATTTTATCATCACTAAGTAAGTATCTGTATGAAGGAAGGGGGATTTCGTTGTTCAGTCATTTTCAGTCATGTCTGACTCTTTATAACCCCATTTGAGGTTTTATTGGCAAAGATACTAAAGTGGTTTACCATTTCCTTTTCCAGCTCATTTTTTTTTCTTTTTACAGAAGAGGAAACTGAAGCAAATAAGGTTAAGTGACTTGCCCAGGCTCACAAACTAGTATCTGGGGCCAGATTTAAAGTCAAGAAAATGAGTCTTCTTATTCCGAGGCCTGACACTCTATCCACTGCTGCCCAGGGGGATATGGACTTTTATTTAATGGATAAAGAGTTCCTGGTGAATATCAATATACACTGACATTATAGTTTTAGAAACTTACCTAGCAAGCTGAAAAGTTAACTGACTTGCAGGGGGGTCACAGAGTCAATATGTGTAGGGAGGTGAAACATGAACCCAGGTCTTCCTGGCTTCAAATACAGTTCTCTATCCACTACACTACATTGTTTCTCACTCATATAATAATCACATATTTAAATTATTTGCTTATAATTGCATATTTTAAAGTAAGAGAAGTCAAAAATGTGTAAACTATATGGAAACTTCAAACATAAATGTCACTAATATTTTTATTTCTAGAAGAAAAAGGAGTTGCTTAATATAGTAAGCACAGAATAGCATCATGAAAATTAAATTTATTATATTTTAAACAGCAAGAAATGTCTGCATATTGATATGTGAGAAATTTCAGAGGCAGCTGTGTACAAAAAGACCAATTTTGTAAAGTGTGGATTTGATTAAAACCCAATTAGAATAAAAAAAATAAAGTGAGAACATTTTTGACATGTGTAACGAATGAAAACCATTTAACTAAGCTGTCAATAGTTTTAAAAAATGATATAGATATAAAAATAGATATATGCATAGATTATCACAATTTTCTAAAGATGTTTAACTAATGTGCTCAATGCCACAATGGCTAAAGAGCCAGGAATCCATTTCAGCTAGGAAACACTTGACTTCCTCTAAAGGGGAAAGAAAGAAATGAAGAATAACACCAATTTAGAATATAAACTTACTTGCAAATTCTTACAGATGATGACAGTAGAAAATAATAGGAAGTACCACCTTACAAAACAGTGAAAAATAGTAGAAGTTAATGAAGTTGAAAAAAATTTTAAATTCCAAAAGACAGATTATTTCTAAATTATTTGTATATGAAACAAGAAGCTTTTTTAAAAGACAAATAATTGGGGAGAAATCTACAATAATTTTATAACCATTTTTCTCCATTAATGACCATCACATTTGTATTCTAACAATACAAGCTTAAATGAATTACATGAAAAGTAGAAATTATGAAACACACCAAAGATCCACTTGGAAAAAAAACCAAATATACAAAGAGGAAATAATTCAGCATGTGACAATTTTAAAGGCATTGAGAGATCACTTCTAAAGACATCTGAAATAGATAAGGGTATCAAACACTTGGGATAAAAAAGAATGGATAGGACTTATCAAAAAAATGGAGCCAAGAAAATAACAGTAACTACCAACTCATTCCCCCTTCTTTAAGACAAAAATTACAGAGAAAAATATTCATGTGTGTTGAGGGTATGGTTGTTCTCTTGTTTTGGTCTTGTCTGACTCTTCTCAACCCCATTTTTTGGGGAGTTTTTGTTAAAGATACTGGAATGGTTTGCCATTTCCTTCTCCAGCTCATTTTATAGATGAGGAACTGAAGCAAATGGGGTTAAGTGACTTGCATAGGGTAACACAGTAAGTGTCTGAAGCCAGATTTGAACTCGTGAAGATGAGTCTTCCTGATTACAAACCTGATACTGTATCCACTGTGCCATCTCCTTTATTAAAGTATGAGAAGTAAACAGGGCTTTTGCAAATGATATTCTATAACAGACCACATTATTCTAATCACACAATTGATTGAAAAGTTCAGAGAATACATATAACACCATACTATTAATTTTGTAAAAAGGTATCTAGCAGAGTAAATTGCCTACTAAGAGATTCTTCAACAAAATATTTACCAAACACATTAAAAATCTATATGCAGTTCTTTGAAGGATGCAACAGAGATAAGTTTTACCTTCAGATCATTATCTTTCAAAACATATAGATCTATTTTCACTAAAAATATTTGCAACTGTAGTGAATGATGCCCAGCACAGAGTCCAAATGAAAATAAATTGCTTATAGTTTATGAGGCCCTCCAAATGCTCTTCTTTGTGAATGACAGTCATCATCAAAATATCAAGTTCTGATACACTGAAGAACTCTTTAACGAGCTCAGTAAGCACTTAAGCATTTGTCCCAACCATCCACAAAGAGAAAAATGTAAATACAGTCTTCCTATTGTACAATATGTGATATGCAGTTGTGTGGAAGATACTTAGAGGTGGTCCAGTGGTAGACAGATGCTCTGGGTGCACAATTAAGCAACTGCAGAATTGAGTAGATGTTGGAAATCAGGCTATGTTGCTTTCGGGAAACTGCACAATGCTTCAATAAAATCCAAATTTATCCCTTAAACAAAGGACACCTTTAAGAAAACAATATTTTGTTTTCTTTCTGGTGATTCGTGATTGATAAAAATCACACGTAGTGCCATAGTGTCTCAGGCAGGAATATGCTGGTAAATGTTTAACAACTGGCTCTTTGGGGAAAACTATGCACATGGCACACTTTTAAGTTTAATCTGCATTATTAACATTTTCTTCATTATTTTCTTAAGTTATACAAATTTGAGAAAAAACAGTAAATTAAGTCTTGATTTTGCAGTATGCCAATTTCCGAGGCATACATGCTAACACTGGAAATGTATCTACTGGCTTTCATGAGCCAGTACAAGTTAGTTCCAAGCATGCCCCTGGCATAAGAATTAGTGTGTCAGTTAACCAAAGAATAGTAAGTATGTGGCAAGTGTATATTTTTTTTCAGAAATTCAAGTAAGTATGGATAGTGATAGATTTATTTTTCTTGTTTCTCCATGTCCAAAATTATTCATCTTGTTGCTCCTGCACTAAATATTGACCCATTATTTTAATAGTATTTTGTTTTTCCCCAGTTACAAGTCAAGAAAATTTATAACATTCATTTTTACAAGATTTTGAGTTCCAAACTTTCCTCCTTCACCTCTCCTCTTCTCAAACTGGTAAGCAATTTAATATAGGTTATACATGTGTTATCATGTAAAACATATTTCCGTATTAGTCACAGTTGTGAAAGAAAAAACAGATCAAAAGAAAAAAAGACAAAAAAGAAGAAAGTAAGTGAAAAAAGTATGCTTCGATCTGTATTCAGAGTCCATCAGTCCTTCATCTGGATGTGGATAGCATTTTCCTCCACTAGTCCTTTTTACTTGTCTTGGATCATTGCATTGCTGAGGAGAGCTGGGTTATTCGTACCTGATCATCACACAGTGTTGCAGATAGCACGTACAATGTTTTCCTGGTTTTGCTCATTTTTCTTTAAATCAGTTTGTACAAATCTTTCTGGGTATTTCTGAAATCTGTCTGTTTATCATTTCTTATTGCACAGTAGTATTCCATTACATTCTTATACCACAGCTTGTCCAGCCATTCCACAATTGTTGGGCATTCCCTTAATTTCCAAGATTTTACCACCATGAAAAAGAGCTGTTATAAATATTTTTGCACACATAGGTCCTTTTCCTTTTTCACAGTCTCTTTGGGAAACAGACCTAGTAGTGGTATTGCAGGATCAAATGGTATGCAGTTCTATAACCCTTTGGCCATAGTTCCAAATTGCTCTCCAGAGTGGCTGAATCAGTTCACAATTCCACCAACAATGCGTTAATGTCCCAATTTTCCTGCATCCTCTCCAACATTTACCATTTTCCTTTTTTGTCATATTAGACGATCTGAGAGGTGTGAGGTGGTGCCTGAGAGTGGTGTGCATTTCTCTAATCAAAAGTGATTTAGAGCCCTTCCTCATGTGCCTATAGATAGCTTTGATTTTTTTCATCTGAAAACTGCCTGTTCATATCTTTGGACCATTTATCAATTGGGGGATGGCTGGTATTCTTATAAATTTGACTCAGTTCTCTATATTAGAAATTGGGCCTTTATCAGAGACACATGCTGTAAAGACCTGTTTCCCAGATTTCTGCTTTCCTTCTAATCTTGGTTGCATTGGTTTTGCTTGTGTGTAAGCTTTTTAATTTAATATAATCAAAATTATCTATTTTACATTTCATAATGTTCTCTACCTCATTTGGTCATGAACCTGTAACTCACTTACCTTCTCCTTAAGTGGATGTGATACCACTTGGTGAAAGTATGTTTGGTATTGATATTCCTGCATTGTCTATGGTCCCTTTCAGAAAGATATAGTTTCCTTCCTTACTTTTTTAAATTAGATCTATTTTTGCTTTGGCTTTATCTGAGATGAGGATTGCTGCTCCTTTTGTTGTTGTTGTTGTTCTTTGTTTTTTACTTCAGGTGAAGCATAATATATTCTGCTGCAGTCCTTTACCTTTACTATGTGTGTGTGTCTCTGCTTCAAGTGTGTTTCTGGTAAACAACATACTGTAGAATTCTGGTTTTTGATCCACTATTCTATGTGCTTCCATTTTATGGGAGAGTTCATCCCATTCACAATCACAGTTCCGATTACTAACTGTGTATTTCCCGCCAATCTATTTTTTCCTCTAGTTTGTCCTCTCTCTCCTTTCATCCTTTCCCTTCTCAACATTGTTCTGTTGCTGTCTACTGCCTCCCCTAGTTTGCCCTCTCTTCTGTCTGTCTTCCTCCATTTACTTAATCTTCTCTCCTCCTACCTTCCTGTCGGGTAAGATAGATTTCTGTATTTAATTGATTGTGTATATTATTCCTTCCTTGAGCCAATACTAATAAGAGTAAGGTTTAAGTGATGCCCATCTCCCGTTCTTCCATTATTCCTCCAGTGTAATTGATTTTCCATGTCTCTTCATGTAAAATGATCTACCTCATTCTATTTCTCCTTTGCTTCCCTTCCTTCTGCATCGTGTACTCTTTTCTCATGCTTTAATCATTTTTTTATGTCATTTCCCTCAAATTCACCATATACCCACACTTTCTGTCTATTTATATTCCTTCTAGCTATATTATTCATGATACAATTTTTTAAGAATTAAAGTACCTATTTGCTCTTTTTTTCTTTTGTTTTGTTTCCTCTTTCTTGTGGTTCCTTCAATTGGTTCTAATTCTTCCTTACAACATGACTAATGTGAAAATATGTTTAATAGGAATGTATATGTATAGCCTATATCAGATTGCATGCTGTCTTGGGGAAGGAGGTGGGGAAGGAGGGGGAGAAAAATTTTAAATGCAAAAGCTTATGGAAATGATTGTTGATAAATCATAATAAATTAATTAATAAAAAAGAATTAAAGTATCATCTCCCCATGTAAGGATATAAATAATAAAGCTCCAAGTGAATCCCTTATGTTTTCTTTTCCTTTTTTACTTGCCTATGCTTCTCTTGGGTCTTGATATTTGAGGTCAAATTTTTGGTTTTGTTCTGGTCTTCTTATGAAACTTAAAATCCTTGTATTTCATTGAATGCCTTTTTTTCTCTATATATTGCACTTAATTTTGTCTTAGTCTAGCTCTTTTGCCTTCTGGAATGTCATTTTCTGTGACCTCTGATTGTTTCGTGTTGCAGTTTCCAAGTCCTGTGTAATCTTGTTTGTGACTCCCCAATATTTGAATCATTTCTTTCTGGCCACTTGCAGTACTTTTTTTTCCTTAGGCAATTGAGGTTAACTGACTTGCCCAGGGTCACACAGCTAGTAAGTGAGACCAGATTTGAACTCAGGTCTTCCTGACTCCAGGGCTGGTACTCTATCCACTGTGCCGTCTAGCTGCCCCTTAACATGGTAGTTCTGATATTTGGCTATCATGTTCCTTGGAATTTTTATTTTGGGATCTCTTTCCTGAGGTGATCAGTGGATTCTTTCAATGCCTACTTTGCTGCCTGGTTCAGGAAATCAGGGCAGTTTTCTTTGATAATTTCTTGAAAGATGCTGTACAGGTCCTCCTTTTAATTATGGCTCTCAGTCTGTTCAATGATTCTGACATTGTCTTTCCTGGATCTATCTGTTT